AGATTTGTTTCACTGAAGTTTTCTTAAGGCTTACTTTTTCAGCTTCCAGGTATTACTTTTAATTGATTTTCTTAGAGTCATTACGGTGGTTGTTCAGTTCAGGGGGAATTTATATGTAGGTATTGCTTCCTCTTTCCACCTGCTCTGGCAGTCCTCACATCTTGTTTTTTGTGAATAGATGATATGTTGGCTATAGCACTGATTTTTGAAATTGATGATCATGTTTAGCCAATGTCCAAAAAATGTCTCCTTCCTGTACCACTGTCAAAAACATAATAGATGAGTGTTCAAAACAGCCTGATAAATGTCATTTTTGGCTGTTTGTCAGAATTTAAATTACTTGATGGGGCACCTTGGTGGCTCAGTGGGTTAAGCGTCCAACTTTAGCTCAGGTCATGATCTCAGGTTTGTAGTTTCAAGCCCATGTTGGGCTCTGTAGCTCAGAGCCTGGAGCCAGCTTTAGATTCTGTGTCTTCCTCTCTCTCTGTGTCTGCTCCTCCCCTACTGTGTGCATTTTCTCTCTCTCTCTCTCTCTCAAAAATAAATAACATTAAAAACATTACAAAATTACTTGACATTCAAGTGAAAATATTGGCCACATACTCATTACTGTGTTTCAAAAATGCATTTGTCTGGGGACACTTGGGTGGCTCAGTTAAGTGTCCAGCTGCAGCTCAGGTCATGATCTCGCAGCTCATGAGTTCAAGCCCGTCACTGGGCTCTGTGCTGACAGCTCAGAGCCTGGAGCCCGCTTTTGGATTCTGTGTCTCCCTCTCTCTGCTCCTCCCCACTTGCACTCTCTCAAAAATAAATAAACATTAAAAAATTATTTTTAAAAATGTATTTGTTTGGATTCTATCTTCAAAAACACAATTTTTCTTCAATCCTATTATGGGTTAGCCTACCCAGATATTATACTTGATTTTGGACTAGCTTTGGTAATTGAATCACATGGATTACTTTATACCAAGAAGCTAGAATTCCTTCCACATAAGACCGTATGGGAATTCTGTAGTCATCACTGCCACTAATGTAATTGCTAAATATAGGTAGAATACCCACCAGGTGTTAGAATATGGAACAAGCAAAAAGCAAAAAATTATTTATAAGGAAATGTAACTTTAATCATATTTTCTTCCTCTCTTGCTTCCTTCCCCTTTCTCCTTCTTTCCTTTCATCTTTTCTATTTTCTTTTAAACATCAAACATTTATTGAGTGCTTATTCTGTATCAGATTTTGTTCCAAATGCTGGACGTTTATTAACTCACTTAATACTTGCATTGACTCTAAGGTGTGTACTATTCCTTTATAGTTACAGGTAGCTCAAAATTAGTCTTTTTAAATATGTGAGGTAGATATTTTAAATTCCCAGTTCTCCATTCCTGTAGCCATGAGTTCCTAACTTACCACTAAGCACAAAAGGTGATGCTTTGTATATGAAATGAAACATTTTTGAGACCCACAAAAACAAGGAGTTGAGGGCATCTTTAACACTTCTTTCAGTTTTATCTCTCAGCTTTACTACTAGAATAAAAGAAGATGACCACTCATTTGACAAAATTGCTGGTATGGAAGGAAGCAAGTGCACTGTATTTCACAAGCAAGGATGAGTAGACTAGGAGTAGAGTGTGGCTTTCTTACCTTTCAGTGTATGAGTGCAAGTTAAATGCTGTCTAGATTTTAAAGTATATTAGGACCATATGTGCAAATTTCTGTGTATTATGTCCAGTCCTTCCTTAGAATACTGGGTGCACTTAAAGAATGTTTAAACGTACATTTCTAGTCATCATTTGGAATTTATTAGGGCAACGTCAGTATCATCTTCAAAAATCAAAAATCACTTTTTGCTAGAGTTATCTTGCTAGTTTGATGGACATTTCAAATTCATTTGTTAAAATTTCTTGTAACAACCATGTACCTTACTCTGGTGTATTATGAAGATAATATAAAGGTAAAGTGATTTGGAAATTTTGAAAGGAATCCTTTTTTTTCTTTTAAACTATGTAATTGGAAGTTTCTTAGAGAGGTAGTTTTATGTAGTGGTTAAGAGTGCAGGCTCTAGAATCACACTGTCTGTTCCCATCCTACTGATACCACTTAATAGTACTGTGAATTTGGGCAAGTTACTTTTCTGTGCCTCAGTCTTGTCTTCTGTAAATTGCGGATCATATAGAACCTCCTTCCTAGGATTGCTGTGATGGTTAAATTAACTCATACCTGTAAAGTGTTAAGAACAGTGTCTGGCCCAGGATATTGCTCAGTAAGTATTAGCTCTTAAAATAAATGTTAGGCACTGTCAAGGTAAATGTATGTTTACTACTTCGGTTACAAGGAGACCATGAAGTGTCTAAAGTTAAGACCAGGACCCATAATTAAAATAAACAAGAAAAAGAGGAGTCCTAATACCACTTATTGTAATTAAAGCTGCAAGTTGCATTCTATATGAATGATGTGTTTATATTAAATGTTCAACTGAGATAAGTCTTTACTTAGTATATAATATTTTTAAAGGAAGAGTTATTCTGTTTTTAAGTTATATAATTCTCCTTTGAATAACTTTTAGAGCAATGATGATTTTTAGACTTAAATTTAATCTGAGCTACCGCTGAAAAGTGGCTAAGAGATGAGGTCCTCTGTCCCCTAATCAAAAAGGCAGACCAGTACAGTGATTTTTGCCATGATTATCAGTAAAATCAATTGGTGGCAATAATGGAAGAGTTAAAGCTGCAAACAATAGCTCAATTATGTGTTTAGGAAGTATAAGGAGTTCAGTGTTATGTATGTGTAATGTATAATGCCTGGAGAGGCAAGAAATAAGAAGGGGTTTGGAGTTTCCCCTCTGGAAATTAGTAAAGTTTAATTGAAGGATGTTAAGAAGAGATACATTCTGAGTGGAGATTGAAGCATGATTAATGATTGAGGGGAGTACCCCGTGAAGAGAAGTGTTAAAATGAGAAAGAAACAAGAACCAATGAAAGGATGGTCTAGTCCCAGGAGCTGTGAATCAGAAACACAGGTGTAGGGTCTTACTCTGGATACTGAAAGAGCTGATGAGTGATGTTGAGAACCAGGTGAAATGGCCGATGGATCTTTCCAATGGCATTCACTCTTAGTTTGTAACAGTGTTGCAGTCCCTTCTTTGCAGGAGTGGAGAAGGCTGTTCTGCAGTTGAGGAGTTGAGGATGGATGTCTTGAGACAACATGGTGGCTAGGCATTAAGTGATTAATTCATATAATTGTCTAGGTGGCAGATAGGCAACTTAGACTAGGAGTGAATTATAAGCCTAAAGAATATGAGAGGAAAAGCACCCAGAATTTATAATGAGGTCTCAAGGAGCACGTGTAGTATGAGCGTGTGAGAGCACTGGAAGGGCAGAATTCAGGGAGTGAGGGAGGCACTGTAGCAGTATTTTGGCATGATGGCAGAGCTCAGGTTGTGGCTCCATGGTGTAGCAGGGAAGGTTGTTGGGGATGAGGAGGTCATAGAGCTGTGAGATTTCTAATCTTGTCCCCCTGGTGTTTGAAATCTACCAAAATGATGACAGAAATTGGGTTGGAGATATGGCTACATATCTTGTGTAGGTTTAAGGCCAGGAGTCACAGTTCAGTGAAATTGGCAGAGTAGCTGGGAAGTCAATCGAAGTTACAGATAGTAATTGAAAAGCTGGATATTATCAGTTTCAAAATGGTGTTATTTTGCATGAGGGTAAAACATTGATAGGTAGATGATTGATAGGTAGATTGATTAATAGATGAGCAATCCTTACAATCTAATGACTTTTGCTGGACACTCCCTATTTTCCCATTTTATAGATGTTAAATCTTCAGTCCAGAGCAGGGAAGTGACTTGGTCAAGGTCACACACTTTACAACCAATAAATAGGAGAAATAATAATCAGGCCTGGGTATCTTTATACTATTCTACCTCTGTTGGTCATTCGAACTAAAACTGTTTATTATTTTAGTTTTCATAATTTAGATTATGGAGCTTTTGGATCTTCTTTTGAATTGGGCATTAATCTCTGTTTTAGTTATATACATATATATTTGTTTTTTTAAGGGAGTGCAAGCAAGGGAGGGGAAGAGGAAGAGAGAATCTTAAAAAAATTTTTTTAATGTTTTTTTTTTTTTTGAGAGAGAGACAGAGTACAATCAGGGGAGGGACAGAGAGAGAGGGAGACACAGAATCCAAAGCAGGCTCCAGGCTCTGAGCTATCAGCACAGAGCCCTTCTTGGGGCTTGAACCCATGAACTGCGAGATCATGACCTGAGCTGAAGTCAGAGGCTTAACAGACTGAGCCACCCAGGCACCCTGAAAGAGAGGGAATCTTAAGTAGGGTCCATGCTCCATGTGGAGCCAGACACAGGGCTTGATCCCACAACCCAGGGAATATGACCTGAGCCAAAATCAAGAGTCAGACACTCAACTGAGTCAAAATCAAGAGTCAGACACTCAACCAACTGAACCACCCAGGTGCCCTCATTTTATTATTTTTAATAGACAATGTGATTTTTAGTGTTTCTTTATTACTATTTTTCCCATTTTGAAATGATGAAGGACAGGCTAACATAATATTTATTTCATTTATTGCTCCCTTTTTCCATTTACTTGACCTCACTAAATAAAGGATTAATTTTTGCTATTTCCACTGAGATGTTAGAAAGTTGCCATTTCCAAACCTCTTCCATAGGTAGTTACTCTAAAAGAAAAATCTATCTATGACTGACTTTGGGAATCTTTTTTTTCATTTAAAAAAATGTTTTCTTTATTTTTGAGAGGGAGAGAGTGCGAGAGAGAGAGAGCATGCGTGGGGGAGGGGCATGGAGAGAGGGAGACACAGAATCTGAAGGAGGATCCAGGCTCTGAGCTGTCAGCACAGAGCCCCACGCGGGGCTTGAATTCACAGACCACGAGATTATGACCTGCGCCAAAGTCAGACACTTAACCAACTGAGCCAGCCACCCACGCGCCCCTGAGAATCTTTATTTTGACCTTGTAGCATTACTTTTCATTCTTTAAAGTCCTGCTGTGTTGTTCCACTGTGCAGCATTAACCCCACTGGAATAGTACAGTCTCCAGATTTTACTTCCTTTTTACATTCAAAGAATTAAAGCAGCACCGTTGGCTCATTCCAAGCAATGGGCAGCCCAGATCTTGGGAAAGAAAACGTAAAGGGAGAAAGATGAGGACAACATCTTTCGTTTTTGGCATCTGAATTATATAAAATGGCTTAATTCCTCCTCTCCCACACCTTAATAAACATTTGTTCAATGTGAATCAGAAGTTAGAGCACTTTCTTTTTTTTTTCTTTGATTAAAAATATTTTTTTAATGTTTATTTTGAGGGAAAGTGCAAGTGTGAGGCAGGGCTAGAGAGAGGGAGACAGAGGGTCTGGAGCGGGCTCTGTGCTGACAGCAGAGAACCTGATGCAGGGCTTGGACCATGAGCTCATGGCCTGAGTTGAAGTTGGACCCTTGACCGACTGAGCCCCCCAGGCAGCCCTAGAGCACTTTATACTGGAGCATGTGCTTTGTGTAAGTTAAAGTAGCTTTTATGATTTTGCTGCAACCGTGATGCAGTTAGTGTAGGGTGACTGTGTCCGTGAATGTTCAACATCCCTCCTTTTGCACAGAGCGACTTTGGAAGCAGAATAATTTTCCCAGCACTAAAAGAGGCTGAGTTTGATATACAAAAGGAGTTACCATAATGACTAACTTAACTATTCTTATTTCTCATGTCCTCGAAATGGCACTCCTGCCCCCTCCTCCGCCCCCGTGTTGTCCAGGATGTGCTGAGTTTTGTTACTACTTTGGAAAATGCAGAGGGGAAGAGAAACTAGATATTTCTGGAGAAAGAATAAAACTTATCTGAATATTCTTCAAGTTATTCTTAATTGTAGTCTTTCAAACTTACAGTCCTCTAAATTTCTTAAAGTATAGATTGTTTTATAAGATATATGTAAATGTAGTTTTATCCTTTTGCAAATATTACACCTATAGTATTAGCTAGTTTAGTGGCTAAGTAAATAGAAAATCAGTGATTTCTTAGCAGCTAAAGATTATTATTTTAAACTTTCATTCATTTAGTCAATTTATTGACAACCTATTATGTCCCAAGCACTTTGATTACTGTATATCTGGTGTCACTTTAATATAGCTTTATACGGTCAGTTGTTTTCAAAAGAAGTTTGGAAAACAAAAACTGTATACTGGTTCTGACATTCATTATTCCATGTGAAAATCTGAGTTTCTGTTTAGTGTCATATTCATTTCACTTAAGAACTTTTTTCAATATCTCTTGTAGTATGTGTCTGCTGACATTGAATTCTTTCAGTGTTTTGTCAGAAAATACCACTGTCATTTAAAAAAAATTTACTGTTAGTTTTTTTTTTGAGGGGGGGAAGGGAGGGACAGGGCATGAGCCTGGGAGGGGCAGAGAGAGAGAGAGAGACACAGAATCTGAAGCAGGCTCCAGGCTCTAAGCTGTCAGCACAGAGCCCGACATGGGGCTTGAACTCACAAGCTATGAGATCATGATCTGAGCCGAAGTCAGACACTTAACTGACTGAACCACCCAGGCACCCCTCACTTTCATTTTTGAATATTTTTGCTGTGTACTGGATTCAGGGTTAACAGATTATGTTTTTTCTTTCAGCATCTTGAAGATATCATTCTATAGCTAACTTTGTTTATGATGATGTCAGTGAATAGTTTTGGGGGAGGGTTTTGTTTTTGTTTTGAGAGAGAGAAAGCATGCCAGCATGAGCAGGGAGGGGCAGAGAGAGAGGTACAGAGAGAATCTTAAGGAGACGCCACACCCAGCACAGGGGCTTAGTCTCACTACCATGAGATCATGACCAAGGCCAAAATCAAGAGTTGGACACTTAACTGACTGAGCCACCCAGGCACAACTGTTAGTGAATATTTTTAATATTTGTTCCCTTGTTTATGGTTGGTTTTTTTTTTGTTTTTTTTTTTTTTTTTTTTTTCCTCTGGTTGCTATTAAGATTTTCTCTTTGGGGCACCTGATTGGCTCAGTAGGTAGAGCATGTGACTCTTGAATTTAGGGTTTGTATACTCATTTTCCTTGAAATCTTTTAGCATATTTATAATATCATTTTAAAGGTCTTCATCTGCCAATTCTATCTTTTNTTTTTTTTTTTTTTTACTGTTTCCTCTGGTTGCTATTAAGATTTTCTCTTTGGGGCACCTGATTGGCTCAGTAGGTAGAGCATGTGACTCTTGATCTCAGGGTTGTAAGTTCAAGCTCCATGTTGGGTATAGAGATTACTTAAAATCTTTAAAAAAAAAAAAAAAGATTTTCTTTTTATCACTGGCTTTGAGTGACCGATATAATATGCCTTGGAATGGTTTTCTTTGTATTTATTTTACCTAGGACTTGTTTAGCACCCTGGACCTATATAGATTTTACCAAATATGAAAAAATTTCAGTCTTTATTTCTCCAAGTGATTTTTCTTCCCCTTCCTTCTGGGACACCAGTTGCACGTATGCTAGCGTGCTGGCTACTGACTGTAGCCCCGGTTGTTGTTTTCCTTCCCAACTATTTTCCTTCTACTGTCCACCGTTTTGAACTATGTCTTCAAGACAATGGATCTTTTCTTCTACAAATAAGCCCATTCATTTAATTTTTCATTTCAGAGAGTATATTTTTTTTGCTTTAGAATTCCTATTTGGTTTTATTTTTGTATTTTTTTAATTATACTCATTTTCCTTGAAATCTTTTAGCATATTTATAATATCATTTTAAAGGTCTTCATCTGCCAATTCTATCTTTTTCTATAATTTCTGAGACTGTTTGTGTTAACTGATTTTTCTCCTCGTTATGTTTCTGTATCTGTTTTGTGTAGCAGTTTTTGACTGCATGCTACAAATGTTATGTTGTTGAGTGTGTGTGTGTGTGTGTGTGTTTATTAAAATTTTCCTTTGAAGTATATTGAGTTTTATTTTAGCAAACAGTTAACATTACTTGTGGATCAGCTTGACCATTACGGTCTTCATTTTTGAGCTTTGTTTGGGTCCGTCTAGAGTAGCCTTTACTTTTGAGCTAGTTTAACACTCCTAATAAGGTGTGGTCTTTCTGAACTTTCCCCTGAAAGTCCTGGATGTTCACTGAAGCTGCTTAGAACTTCCTGTATCTCCCAGCCCTATGAGAAGTGTGGGAATTGTCCAGCTTCCAGCTCCCTGGTGCTCATTCTTCACCTGCACCTGTCCTGGTGGAATCTCACCCCAAACATGTACACCTTGATATTTGGCCGAAGACTCTAGCAAACACTATGCAGGTTTATGGAGCTCTCTATCTGTATACTTGCCTCCTTGGAATATCTCCCCTCACAAATTCCAACTTCCTCAGTCTCCCCAAACTCTCATCTCTGTCTCCTCAACTTCAGTGAGAATGCCTTATTTCACTTGTATTTCTCTTCCTTATCTCACAGTCTATACAGCGTGTATGTATATGTGTGTGTGTATACTATGTGTGTGTTTGTGGTATATACTATATCGTAGAGTAGTATATGTATAGTACCTTTAGATAAAGATCTGGGGTGACCTCAGGGCTCACTTCATGTATTTTTCTTCTCTCAGGAGTCACTGTTTTCCCTGCCTGCTGTATGGTACCTGAAAATAGTTGTATCATATAATCGTATATGTTATACAGATGTTTACAGGAGGAAGGCAAGTCCATCGTGGCTGGAAAGAGAAGTCCCTGCTAGTATAGTTTTGATTCTGATTTATTCTTACTTAAGTGGGTGCTTAGTTAATGGAAATCCCATCCAGATGATTATGCAGGGGGTTATACAGGGCCATGTCTCTGACATTTGGGCCTTGATATTGACTCATCCAGTATAGAATGTCAAGTAAGCACAGACTGGACCCTCTTGAATGACGATTCTAGCAAAATGTAGCAATTTTATGAGGTTACTCTTTCATTAATTTAGGGCCACTGAAGTGTTACAAAATGCTACATTTTTGTGATATTCTTTTGATGAATCAAGATATCACGGGAACGAGATTCCTATCCCATTCTTGTAAACCATGTCTTCCTGATGCACACTGATTTAACCATAGTGTTAATTACTATATCCTTTTCCAATTTCAGGAGCAGCGTTTCTTGCTATTACAACCATCTATGCTGAAAGTGGGTCAGGTTTTGTAGTACCAAGTGCTTCTGCCAAAGCGGGCGTGGAGGCCTTGAACAAGTGAGTACTACTATGTTGATCCCATCACTGAAGACAAGCAGTGTACCCTGGTAGTTCCTGGAGCTAAATTTCTTCTCTCTAGTCTCCATCTGGAGAAAAGTAAAACAAAGATAAATTTGGATTTACTCAAAAACACACCTTTTATTTCTTGGATGAGTCCTATTTGTCAAGGTCAGCACTGTCTGGTAGAACTTTCTGCAGCGATGGAAATGTTACAGCTCTGCACTATCCAATAGCCACATATGAACCTTCGAATTGTGGGTACTGTGACTGAGAACCTAAATTTTATTTAATGTTAATTACTTTAAAATTAAAATTAAGATTAGATAGCTACATGTAGCTGGTGGCTGTCATATTAGATAGCACAGGAGTATAGCCTTTTTGTTCTCCCATATCTCTTTATCTCTAGTGCCGTTTCTGATCTCTGTTAAACACACCTTCATCCTTTGATTGTACCTGCTGAGCAAGATCAATAGGACTAACATAAACCAGTCACCACTTGCCAGTTCTTGTGGCCTTTGTCAGCAGCATATGATAGTTCTTTGAATCTGTCCCCCATTGGCCTTGGCCACTATGTTTGTGGTAACATAGGTTGCCATTATGGTAACATAGGTTGTCATTATGTCAACAACATAGGTTGTTACTGGAATAACCCTCTAATGTGTTTCTCTGCTACCAGTCTCTTTGCTGTTTACTTTTTATGCATATTCCCACCCGAATCATCTTTCTAAAAGTACACGTATGCTTATGGTACCTCCTAGCTAAAATCTTAGATCATGTTTTCATTACTCTTCAGAATAAAAGCCAAAACTCACGATGACAAAACTTGTCCCTGACCTTTGTTTATTCATTGATTAACTGGATACATGTTTGTTTTGTGTCTTTTTTGTGCCGAGCACTTTGCTGGGTACCAGGGATAGATAGGATAGTGGTAGAAGTAGAATAGTCTTCGTCCTCACCTGAGTGTATAGTCTTACACCATTTTTCCCGTGTTTTAATTTCCATTGAACTGCTCCATATTTCCTTAAATATGCTGTGCATTTTCATCTCTCGGTGCTTGGGCTATGCTGCTGTTGGAATATGCTGTGACGTTTTCCCTACTTGCAAGGCTTTCATCATATCACTTCCTGTGTGATACGTCCTCTCATTTCTCTAGAACACAACGAATTATTCTCTACTCTGTGCACCCTTTATTTCAATCTAGTGAGAAGACTAACACACTAATAAATATATGCCACTCATTGTTATAGATTCTAAAATGAAGGCTCTGTATGAATGTAGGGCACAGAGAACAGCATGCAAGACTACTTTTTCACATATTGCTAAATCTGTCGGACTTCCCCACTAGACTATGAGTTCTGTGAGGGAGAAACCTTATTCGTCTCCGTATATTTACTTCTTGGCAAGATCTGGTACATGGCTCTTGCTCAGTACTGTGAATTGCATAATTATTCTTTTGTTTCAAATAGTCTCAAAGTACTTTTTAACATTTAAATCAGTAACATATGTTTCTCTGAGATACAAAGACATATTACTATACTTAGAAGTTGAGTCTTAGAGATAGAGATAGTCTTAGAATAGAGATAATTACCTTTTTGTTCAGTATTGGAAATAAGGAATTAGAACTTGACTATTTTGGCATCGTTTGTACGGTATCAGTATTTGTCTGGGGTGCCTGGGTGGCTCAGTTGGTTAAGTGTCCAACTCCACTTGATTTCATTTGGCTCGGGTTATGATCTCACAATTGTGAGGCAGAGTCCTCCATTGGGCTCCATGCTGAGAATGGAGTCTGCTTAAGAGTCTCTCTCTCTGGGGGCGCCTGGGTGGCTTAGTTGGTTGAGCGTCCGACTTTCGCTTAGGTCATGATCTCACGGTTCGTGGGTTCGAGCCCCGCGTCGGGCTCTGTGCTGACTGCCAGCTCGGAGCCTGGAGCCTATTTCAGAGTCTGTGTCTCCCTCTCTCTCTGATACTCCTCTGCTCACGCTGTCTCTCTCTTTAAAAAAGAAAAAAAAAAAAAGTGTCTCTCTCTCTCTGTCCGTCTCATCCCCCATCCCCTTCCCTGTCCTATCATGTATGCGTGCTCTCTCTCTCAAAAAATTTTTTTGTTTTGTTGGGACCTTTGGTTTTGTTAGAGAATTCAATTTCATGTCCTTTAAGGTCTATAATTCTGTGCTGCTTGTTCTTTTGTTTTGTTTTCTATTACTGCATAGTGTATTGCATGAAATAGATGCTCAGTAAATGTGTACTTCCTCTCCAGCCTGCATTCCTTTCTTCTTACGCTTCTTCTTACGCTTTATAGTACATGGTCCTACTGAATAAGGCCTTGTAAGTCCCCAAATACTGCATGTTGTTTGTGTCTTCGTCCTTTACTTTACTCATACTGGCCCATGTGCCTGGGCTATCTTTTTTTTTTTTTTTTTCCCCATCCTACGCTCTGTTATCTGCCATCCTCTTTTCCTGCCCCTTACCTCTAACCATAAACTCCTACTCCTTCTTCAGGTGTCACCTCAAATATCACCTCCTCCAGGAAGCCTTTTTTCTCACTCTCAGTAGACTTATGTACTTTTTCCTTTAAGCAGCCATGGCACACTTTACATAGTTCCCAGGAGAGTAACTACTTTATGAGGTAACTAAGCTCACTTCTCTTGAGAGAGTAGGACTGCTCTCTTGAGAGCAGGGCCTGCCTTTCTGCGGGGGTAAATAACACTTACAAGGTGTTATTAACTCACAGTAATCACAGAATAAATATCTGTTGATTTAATAACAATATGGCTAACATATAATGAGTATATTGTGCTTAGTTATCATTTTAACATGCAAGATGAGCTGATGAGGTGGATTTCTTATCATGTTACAGTAGTTCTTCAGAATATAAGCTAATTTAATGAGATCCAGGACTGGAGAAAGTGTATGTGTTACACACATCCAAGCAGAGATTGGATGGCTTTTCCTCTAGACAGCTTTCCTTAATAGGTTGCTCAGTTTTTCACAGGAAGCTATAAACTTTGCTCGGCTCAGTAATTCTGTTAGGACATTAAGTTACTACTTTCCTAGCAATTTGGGGCAGATGCACTACAAGTACATGTCTAGGGTAGGTATGGTCATGAATTCTGTCAAAAGCATCACTCAGGAAAGCAAGTTTTATGTATGATTTACCCGAAAGAGATGCAGTCCACCCATTCTCTAAAAGTACCCATGGATTAAGACAGATTAACAGACTGTGCTCGGAGCACACACACCCTTCCTTACCTCCCTCCCCTACAGAATGACTTTTGCTTAATTGGTGTTTGTGAGATTTTCTTTTTAATGTTCATTCATTATGAGAAACAGAGCATACGTGGGAGGGGCAGAGAGAGGGAGAGACAGAATCCTAAACAGGCTCCACACCCTGTCAGCCCAGAACCTGACTCAGGGCTCAGTCTCATGAATGGAACCATGAAATCATGACCTGAGCCAAAATCAAGAGTGAGACGCTTAACCAACTGAGCCACCCAGGTACCGCCTGAATTGGCTTTTGAAGTGATCTTGTTAGGTCATGTTAAGTGAGATCTTGTAGTTCCATAAGACTCATCTCATTGTATCTATTGCAAGTATACAGTATTGTATTATTGTATTACACAATTTTCATTTTAGAAGTCTTCTTGAAAAATATTTTTCATATATATTTTTTTAAATCAGGAGAAATTGTGCTTTTCCTGAGAGATTAGTTTCCCTTTTCCTTATGGGCACTGCAAAGTGTGTAACTGATTAGGTTTCCTTTTTGCATAGTGTCATGGAAAGAATGGATGCAAATTTGTGACTTCCGTATTGTGATTTTATAGAATGCCACAGAACAGTAAGATATTAGCACCATTCTTCATTCCTTTGTGTTTCCTTATCATTTTTTCTCTTCATTCCTTCTTTCCTGCCTTCTTTTCTCTCTCTTTTTTTCCTTCAAATAATTTTATCTTCCTTCTTTGCATTATTTATATATTTTTAAAATTGTTACTCTAAGTCATTTTTTAAAACTATATTAAGTATATATACACACAAATGTACATATGAATGTAAATTCCTAAAATGAGTTTAGATAATCAAAGTTAAGACCTGTCTATCAAGTAGGCTTTTTAAAACAGATTGCTTCAAGTTTCCCTGTTTTCTATTATTGTCATATTTTGCTTCATACCATTTAGTAAGATTTTGTTAGATTCCTATTTCCTTTTGAGTCCCATTCAACAATTATATTAAAGCCTTATTTAACATGGGTGTGGTTAATATTTTATATCTTTGTAACTCATCTCTTACTTAAAAGCACTTGTGATGTTGCGTACATTGTAATCCAGTGGACTATGCACAAGTAAAGCTATATTGGACTTTGTACATGTAGGATTGAACTCCAGAAAATGTGGAGGCTTGATTCTTTTACTTTTTATGGTAAATTATGATGCTTACTCTAATAATGTATTTTGATATTGGACTTAGTTCTAAAATGTAAATGGTAGGTGGTATAACATAAAATGACCTTAAGGAAGGACACTAAAATGTAAATGTGGTAGGGTTCACTCCCTAAGAAAAGAGAAAAAAAAAAAAAACCTCAAGGCAACCTGTTTATACGCATACGTGACAGCATCCCTCATGACCTTGTAACATGAGACCACTTAGTCAGACTGCATGTTTCTATGTTACCATATGTGGGAGACAAAGAACTAAAAAAAAAAAAAAAAAAAAAAAAAAAAAAATATATATATATATAAAGAAATCTATTTCACGTGATGTTCGGGGCTCAGTTTTTCAGGTACAAACCCAACTGAGCGGTGCTGGCATGAATAACCTTGCTTCCTGGAAAGAAAAGCCTCGGTGTCACTACTCTCTGTGCGAGAATCCTGCTACATAAATAGTAGATATCACAACAGAGTGATTAAAGGCACAAACTCTGGAGCTAGACCACTTAAAGTTGATTTACTGGCTATATGACCCAGAGCAAGTGATTTTACCTCTCTGTGCCTCAGTTTCCTTGTCTGTAACGTGGAGAATAATAATAATACCTACTTGGGGTTGTAGTCCCTGGCATGTAGTAAGTATGCCGTGAGTCATGGTTATTAGTATTTTTAACATATAGTATGGGATTTTAGAATCTATGTTGTTTATTTTTATTTTTAGATCTCTTGCAGCTGAATGGGGTAGATATGGACTACGATTCAATGTGATTCAACCGGGGCCTATAAAAACAAAAGTAAGTTTTAGTTTGCCTATTATCTCATTTTGAATGAGGAAGGAATGAAATATTGATAGAAATATTCTGATGGTTGTGCGCAGGACTTGTCAGAATATCTGATTTTGGAGCCGTATGGTAGAGAAGAGGGTTTTGCCATTATCCAGTATAAATAAGGAGGACAGGAATACAGCAGCTATTTAATTTCTTGATAAGACTTATTTCAGTGTCTTAATCTTCTGGGATCTTTTGTGCCATCAATTTTGGTATTTTGTCTCATTTGTTTCAGTGATCTGTTATTACCCTATATTTCTTAATCTTCACCACATTTTAAGGATTCTTACTTTAAGTGACATGTGTTTTTTTGTTGTTGTTTTTTTAGTTCCTGGAAATGGAAGTATATTTTTATTTTAAGAGATGTTCTAGAAGGTTCTCTGCTCTTGCTATAAGTAGCATTTTCTTTGACTCACATCTGTATCTTTCAAACACTCAACTATGCATGTCATTTGACTCCCATGTCTCTGATTACAAATCTTTATGATGGCATGCATTTCACCTATAAATAATCAGTACAGATACTCACCATAACTCATAATGATCACTAGTACTGTTACAGTTGCTCACACTGCCCCAGATAACTTCACTCTCATTTTGTTTTCATGTAAAGCAAGAATTTACAGTACTATATAGCTGGCATATAGCTCTGAAAGTCTCAGTGAAGTGTGATCACTTATTTCAGTTGTATAAATAAATACTTTAGAATATAATGCTAGGGAGCATTTGGGTTATAGGTATTTCTGGGTATTAAATATCATCATGGAAATGGCTATACTAGGTTATTTAGCAGCTTGAAGGGTGGAAAATGGAAAGAACTATCTGAGTGACTGAAACTTGATTGACTATCTTGTTTGACACTTTAGTAATAAAGAAACTAATACAGTTATTGGAAAAACAACTCAAAGCATATATTAAAACACATGATTGAGGGCAGCACTGTGCTGAGCACTGTCTGAAGAAAACTCTGCAGTCACAGAAGGTTCTTTTTAGGACCTCAATATCTAGAAAAGATCACCTGCATTTTATTTATTTAACATATATTGAGTGTCTGCTGTATGCAAAGGTGCTGAGAAAGATACAAAAACATTTGTATCAGTGAGTCCTTGCCATCAAGAAGCTTACAGTGTAGCAGTAGAAGTTGTACACAGATTAACAAGTGTGTAGTTTTAAAGAGTTTAAAAGAAAATTGAAGTATAGGAACTTGGTAGCAAGTACTAATAGAGCACTGGTTCATACGTACCCAGGGAGAGCTGGAGGGCTCACAGGAGTGAGTCTCCTGAGAGCCTGCTCTGTCCCATTCCTGATTTATTGAGGAAAGCTGTCACCTAGACTTCCAACCGTTGGTACAGAGAAATCCAGTCTTTCATTCATTTTTTTTTTAATCTACGCACATACAAACTTCATATGTACCTTCATAGCATTAACAGAAGGCAGACATTGTTTGGCAAATTTAGTTATTTTCTTCTTTAAGATCTACTTGAATTTAATATTCCTACATACTTGTTTTCTTCCTTTCTAGTTATTTTGAGAAGAAAGGAGAAGACAAGGAATTTCCTCCTAAAGGTTTCTCACTTGAGGCACTTTTTGATTACTACATCAAATAATATCACTACTATATCTACCATTTTGGACTTGTACATACTTCAGAGTACTTTCATATACATTTTCTCATTTGATTCTTTAACAGTTTTGTGAGGTAACTAATGACAGGTATCCTCATTTTATGGATGAAGAAAACTAAGGTAAAAAGGTTATATTTTCTGGTATTTTTTAGGTCATTATAGGGTAAAATGTCTTGTTTTGAGTTAAAATGAATATGGAAGAATTTGGGAATATTCTCTGTTGTTTACAAGCCTAAGGTATGAACAGGCTGCCATAGTAATATTACATTTTTTACAAACTATTTTCTCCAATAGGAAAGAAGTTGCATTAACAAAAAATGCAACCTAACTATTTTCTCAATTTCTAAGGGTGCCTTTAGCCGTCTTGACCCGACTGGAGAATTTGAGAAAGAAGTGATTGACAGAATTCCCTGTGGTCGGCTAGGAACCGTAGAAGAACTTGCAAATCTTGCGGCTTTCCTTTGTAGTGATTATGCTTCTTGGATTAATGGGGCAGTAAGTATTATTTCTCTTATCTTTGTAGGGAGGTGGATTTGGGGTAGGAAGGCGTACTGTGGAACCAGTTCTGACAATATTGAATATAAATATGGTTTAAAATATTTATTTAGCTGTAAATAATATGAAAGATTAATATAGATTGTTTAGCCTATGGAATTTTTTCATGGCTAAATTAATTTTATTAAATGCAAATTACCCCAGAAGACATGCCTTTAAGATGATTTTTAACATCAGGTAGAATTTGAAATTGTGGGGACGGGGAAGAAAGGATTCTAAAATGAGTTAATCAGATTAGGTTTAATCATCACTTTTGTCTTCAGAATTTGGGCTTTGATTGACAGTCTCAAGGAAATATTCCATCCAATCAAGATGGGAGAATGTTTAATTATTCAGAAACTTTTTAAAAGGAGTTCGTTTCAGCATTTTTGCTATTTTTTTTATTTTCAGGTCATTAGATTTGATGGTGGAGAGGAAGTATTTATTTCAGGGGAATTCAACAGTCTAAAGAAGGTAATGCCATTTTGTGAATATAATATAATATTAGCAGCTAAGATACTAAGCTTTAAAAGCATGCAAGAACCACATTAAGCTGGCTTTCTGTTTGTATTAGGTCACCAAGGAGCAGTGGGACATAATAGAAGGACTCATCAGGAAGACAAAACGCTCCTAAGACCACACTGGCCTTCATCTTAGTTACAGTGGAAATGATACAGTCTATGATCTTTTGAGTATTTTCAAGTCTAATAAATTGTTAATGGAACAAACATGGACTGGGTGTGTATCATGTGCTGGGCCGGCCATAGGTAGACATTGTATATTTAAAGATCTGTAAGATGAGATATTATTGCTTCAAAAGTTTATTTTTAATAAAAAAGGCAAATGAATAATGGCTTTCATGGAGGTAAAATGCTTGGAAGCACAGAGAAGGAAACAGATATTATAACTTGGAAAAATCAGGAGAATCTTAATGGTCAGAGTAGCACTTGAGTTACATATTAAACCATGCCTGTGGGGATGGGGCCTAAGAAAAAGAGAGGAAATACATTAGATTTAATGGACTCTGCCTTTTCATTATATTTCCTTTTTTAAAATATTTATTTGCTTATTTATTTATTTTTTAAATGTTTTATTTATTTCTGAGAGACAGAGACAGCATGAGCAGGGGAGGGTCAGAGAGAGAGGGAGATACAGAATCCAAAGCAGATTCCAGGCTCTGAGCTAGCTGTCAGCACAGAGCCCGAGGCGGGGCTCGAACCCACGAACTGTGAGATCATGACCTGAGCCAAAGTCGGACACTTAACCAACTGAACCACCCAGGCACCCCTCTTCTCAAGTTTTCTATTTCTCAGCTGTGAGGTGAAATAATCCTTGTGTTTGGAGACAGAATAAATGGCACTTGGCCTAAAATCTCAACTAACTCTGGCAGAGGAGATCTTGCCTGCTCTGCCTCAAATACACTCTGCCCTCTACCCAGGCTCTGCTACAGAGCTTTCTGTTCCTTGGGGTTCTTCGACCTAGAACCTTCGCACCTGCTGCTGCTTTGTCCTAGGAATGCACTTCTATAAATCCCTGCTCATACACCATTAATATTTTTTGACTTTTTATTTGATGTATGATTTCTTACCATATACAAATTGAATTATCACAAAATGAACACACTTGTGTAAACACTACCCAGGTAAAAAATCACCAGGAATCCAGAGGTTTTGCTTGTGTCTCTTATCATGACTTACCTTCTATAAAACTGGTCACTATCATGACTTCTAACATCGTAGCTAAGCTACTTTTGAAGCCTATGTAAGTAGAATCACATGCTATGTATTATCCTGTTTCTGTTTTTTTACCTGTGTAGCAATTCTTTATGCATTCTCATTGCTACATAACATTCCATTGTATGAATATACCACAATTCATATGTTCATGCTGCTGTTGATGGACATTGGGGTTTCTAGTTTGGGGGTATGCCAAATACAACACTACTGTAAACATTCTTCTTCTTTTGGTGACAGTGCAGACCTTTCTCCATCAGGTTGATAAAACCTAGAAGTGAAATTGCTGGGTTTTAAGGTGGGTATACCTTCAAACTTAGTAAATGCTGCCACAGTGCTTTCCAAAATCATCCCAATTTAACCTCCCACCCCACAGTAAGAAATTCCACTGTGCTATATCCTCACCAATACTTAGGATTTAAAATCTCTATATATTTTTTTTAAAGTTTATTTCTTTATTTGGAGAGAGAGAAAGTCCAAGTAGGGGGGAGGCAGTGAGAAAATCCCAAGCAGCCTTCAAGTAATCAGCGTAGACCCCGACATGGGGCTCAATCTGACAAACTCTAAGATCATAACCTAAGCCACAACCAAGAGTTGGATCTTCCCCTGACTGAGACACCAAAATGCCCCTCAAAATCCCTTTAATTTTAACCTTTCTGGTGAGTGTATGGCAGTATCTCATTTGTTTAATTTGCATTTCTCCTGATTACTAATAAGGTTACTTTTATTTATTTTGCCTGTTTAGAGATCTCTTTTATTTGTAAAATGCCTGTTCAACTTACACATTTTTCTACTGGGTTATGCTTTTAAAATTAATTTTTGGAGTAATGTTTATGTATCTTTGAAAATGTACCTTTGTCAGTTATATGTGCTACAAATTGTTGGAGGAGGTCATCGGGAGGACATGACCGCTGGTTGACCCGAGAGCTGCATCTGGGCAATCAGAGGCCTCTCATCTGCCACCCACCCCCATCCCCGTGGAATGTTAGTTCCACGTGCGCACTGTGTCCTGGCTGAAGCGGTTTTTCAGGGATGAAGCCTCGAGGCAGCAATGTGTTGTTGAAACCACCTGGCCTCTGCTCGTGCTCACGCACTCTTGCTCTCTCGCTCTCTCGCTCTCAAAAAGAAATTAAAACAATAAAAAAAAAGATTCTGGTGGTGGGGCATGAAGGTTTATTCGTCCTGGGGTTGTTCAAGATAAGCCTCCTAAGTAAGTTCCCTTGTTTATTTCAGATTTCACCTGGAAAGCTACCGAGGTTTTGGTCAAACCTAAGTATCTTCTCACACTCTGATGTTTGATTTTTCACTTTCTTAATAGTGACTTTTTTGGCGGGGGGAGGGGGAGGGGGGTATCGAGTTCTTAAGGTTAATAGGGTCCAATTTTTCAATGTTTTTTCATAATTGGTTATTAAGGAATCTTCCCATGCATATGATGGAAGACATTCTAACACATTGTTGTCTGTATACCTTTTGCACTTGGATTGATAATATGCCTGGAATGAATTCTGTTTGTAATCTGAGGCAGGCATGTGTAAGTGATCTTACATTTGCCCTATCAGATTCTTTTACTCTCTTCTCTTTGTTTTTGGTTCTAGGAGGCAGGCCCATCACTTAGAGGGAAGTGTGACTGATTTAGCTGAGCTGTAAGAATTCTTTCCCTGATAGTGCTCAGGAGTCCAAGTTTGCCGTGATAGGCCAAGTGCTAAATTCATGACCATTATTCCTATGGGCTTTCTAGGAAGTGACCCCTGATATCAGACTTTTATTGCTGTTGTTTTTCTTTCTTTTTTGATGCTACAGTTGTAAGAGTGCCAAGCCTGCCCTCATTGTGGTGTATACTTTGTAACGAACAGCTATTTCAAATGTTGTGAACAGATGAATGTAAGAAAGTCTGTGTATTCCTATTCCTTCGGAAAAAATCTTTCACAAAGAACTGTTTGTTTATGTGAGTTGGGATATTTGGATTTTTTGGGATTTGTTTATAAATCTTAATGTCGGAGGCTTCTCTTCATAAGGCATACAGTAATTCACCACATTAGGCAGATTTACATTTATTTAGATTTCTTAGGCCTTAATAACTTCAGCATCCTCCATTTCCACGTCGATTGATTACCAGTTACATGTCAACTGACTTTTTGAGGAAGAAACAAAAATACAAGGATGAGTTATTTTCCTCTTTATTCTTAGTCATTAAATTCAACCTAAGGTCAGTGCTTCCATTTACACACTAGAAGCAAAGCCAATCTAATACATTATCTTGATAAATTTTATTTTTTGACAGATCTATTTTCTGTTCATCCTTGGAGGAAAGAGATACCTCACTTTTATTTTGTTGTGATTCCTATGAATTGAGAAAAGTAGTGTTGAATTTATAGAATTGGGGACATTTAAACTGATCTAGAACTATTAATTCTTTGGCGGTAAGTCTGTAAATTTCATAAAGACACATAACTCAGCTCTCGGCTTCACAATCAAAGAATCAGAAATAACCAACCATTACATGTCAAGTGTAACCAGTATAGGATATTCTAGCTACAAATACATGAAAGTGACTTGGATGGAGGTCAAAAGAATGTTTTAGAATCTCCTTTGCTAAGTAAGATAAATGATTACATTAGTATTTCTCTTCAGATATTATTTTTAACTCATTTGAAACTATTTGCAGATAGAAATAAAACTATTTTGAATGCTGATCTCAATATGAAATATAGAGAATTCACAGAATACACAAAATTCTTGATGATATAACATTCAACAATCAGGGTGCTATGAATTTTACATTAAAATTTAATTATATAGTAAAAAATAGAGTAGTTACAGCTAGAAAAAAACATTTTCAGAGGCAGCAGATACCCTTGGTGGGGAATGGACAGTCCTACATTGAAAGAAAATCCAGGAAGTATGCAAAGTAGACACCAGGATACTCGGCATATATGATTTAATCAGAGATCACACAATATGACATAGAAACAGCAGTTGACTAGAATAATTATAATTTGCAACACGTGAGAACAATTTAGAAAATGGGTTAAGGTCATACTCTGACAGTAGGCTTGTTGGAAATACAGATGTAGAATCAGATTTATGTTTCATCTGGTGCTACCCTTCCTTGTCATCAAATTAACTTGAACCAGTAGCTTGGTATGGATTCAAGCAGTAGATGTGTTGTTGATTAATTAACTAAGTCTTGTCTAGTGAGACTGTTAACCTCATAGAGCCACAAATACCTAGCTATTGATTGATAGTTTGGTATTTTAGATGCAAAAGCACATTCCTCCTAATAATTGGAAATACAGCTTAAGACTATTTTGTGGGACAAACCTATGATTATCTGAAATGGTAACTTGTTAGGTATAATTCTCCTATTCAGTGACAAATGTGCATTTATACATCAGAGACTAGAATTTTTGAGATTAATCCTAGTGGAATTTTTAGGGAAATCTTGTTCAACTATATTTGTGAAAGCAAGAATCTGTTCGGTTATTTTTTTTTTCCCCAGTTGGCTGGCCTGAGCCTAAGACTTTCTTTTCCAATCATGTAGTTACAAAAACTATGCATTACAAACAGTGTAGAAACAAGCTGAAAAGAATGTGCCACACATCCTGGGTAATTAGCTATATGCAGTTAAATTTACAGATACAAAAGAAAATACAGCCTACTCCCTTATAGTGCACAGTTATTTTTTAGATACAATGTATCGCTAGTAAGTGGTCATGGTCATTGACTCTAGTTGTCTCCAGCACAGAGAATGAGAGCAAGATCCGTTCGGTACAGCTTTCCTCCATCTGATAAAGCCATTATGCTCTTCTTGTATGTTGGAATATTATTAATATCCAGATCCTGTATAGAACATAGGCGGCATTGTTATCCAGTTAAATATGGAAGTTAATTAACCACTGTCAAGTGATAAAACAAAGGATGAAAACTGCTTGCTGTATCAGTCCATTAAGAGCTGGACTGAATTCTTACACTAACGTGAAGAATCACAAGGTTGT